AAAAAAAAAAGTGGTAATCGGACAAAGAAAGTAGCAAAAAACCGATCGATTGCACTTTGTATTTAGACATCTTTTCGCAGACCCAGGTAACATATCTTTCACTAGTAATAATAGTAGAATGCAAGCTCAATTTGGGCATTTACACAGAAAAAAACAACAACCCAATTTATAGCTGATATAACAAAGCTGAAGTGTTTTGAGTTTGTGCATGGAGTATCAGTCTGATAGGACCACAATCACAATGACAATGTCATTATTTTTATCTATATTTTTCTATTCATCAAAATATATTCGTCATCCTTTGGAAATCGAAAGAAACTCAGATTTTGATTCTAATAGGTGCAGTTTATAGCAGTACGCCATTGACATTTCGTGCTAACCGGGGCCATGCTTGTCTGCGATCAACAAAAATGCCTTGAACAATGGACGCAGTTTGTTTTGTTTACCGCGCGTTTCTCCACGATCAGCTGGTGACCCAGATACGCGCATCCGTGCGAAGTGCCGTCTCTCTAGTATTACTGTAAACGCTCTGACGTAGATACAAAGACTAGGTGCCCGGTTACCGTGTACGTAGATACTGAAACTAGGTGCCCGGTTACCGTGTATGTAGTCACTCCGAAAACACATACACCTCACATTAGTGTGCATAAAATGTGATGCATTACTATTTATTCCTCCAAAACTTATAAAGGAACTTGTACTTGTTTTTTTTTGTCACTATCCGGATCTGTTTGTTGGATTACCGAACTATGGAATGATATGTTTCTGTTGATCATTCTCACTTTAAAACAGAGTTGTAATATTTTATGGAAAAAATCGTCTCCAATCAAAACTTTACTTTGTGCTATTATAAAGTGGTGCATTTGAAGTATGATTGTTGATTTTTGTGTGTGTGTGTACTGTATATACACACATCTTTCATGTAGATTTATTTTCAGTGACCACTGTGTGAAAACAAGAGACAAAATTTGAGAAGTTTTAATGCTTCAGCGGTATGCTCTTTCATATTTCATAGTTTCCTCATCATAGTATGAGCCATGCTTTACACTTACACATGATGACAATGATTTATTGGCTAGCTCAGTGTGCTTTTGAACATGATAAAAGATGCTGGCTTTTTATTAAAAAATTGTGCTTTCCTCAGGACGCCGTGCAAGGTTATTGCTGTCCTACCTCCGTCAGATGAGAAACCAAATGGAGATATCATCGTCATTGAGGATTCTGATGAAGATTCGAATGCTGCTGGTTCGGAGTCAAAAAGGTTAGTAATAATTGCAGTGCTAGGCTACCGGTTGTTTTATATTTGATTAATTGTTTGCTTTTAAGCACAAGGGGGCTATCCCGAAAAATGCTGTTTTGAGAAAATCGAAGGTAAAGTTTTTAGATCCTTGTTCAGTTTCTTTAACCCTCTGTGTGCGCATCACGACCAGTTGACTCGTACTTCTCTTCCGCGCATCGACATGAGTGTAGAAACTATACCGTTGACATGAGAATAGCCATTTTTTAACTGCTGGTGACTACAGTCCGCCAGTGCAACGTTTATTAGTCGTTGGCAGCGCATTTGTCTGTCGGGGATCAGTTATGAGTTTACCGGCAATTTTCTCGAATATTGTTTAGTTTTCAAAATGTCGGATTCGTCAGCTGATTTAGACACAGATTAGCCCAACATTTTTCTAGAATCGGACGACAGTGATAAAGAGTTTTAAGGATAAGGTCCTCAAATAAAAGATTTACTAGTGAATGATGGGGATATATCGTAGATCTAGCAGGGTTAGGCCCAGAAGGGGATGTCGATATTCCTGCTGATCTCCAAGCAGGCTGGACTAAAAATGATGAGGATTTTGATACCAACACCAACAACATCATAAAAAACCACAGCTGACCAGATATAAGGGTAGAAGTTCATTTTATATAAGACACAATTTTCCTTCTTACACTGTAATTAGAAATTATGATAAATAAGAAAGATATATGAGCTTTTTTTATAAACCATGTTGAAAATTAGCATTTTTCTAAAATAAACCCAGCACTGAAGGGAAGTAATAGTAAAAATGGCCTAACGCTAAGAGGGTTAAAAGACAAGGAGAGTTTTCTCTAAAACCAAACTTCTCCTATACGTAGGACAATGCCCACTTTTGGTGTTGGTCAAGATTTCTGGAAACCCCCAAAATCTGGGTTAGCCGGCTTGTCCTTAAAAGTGACCAATTATCACAGTTAAGCACAGCTCAGCAAGTGATCATACAACTTTCAATATTCACTTTCAAGCATTTCCATTTTTGTTGGACTTATTTTTTAGGTCGGAAAATATTTTAAAACTTCTTTACCCTTTTTTCTTTCAGTCAAAAGAAAAAGAAAGGATTTGGTGCAGATCCCGTGAGGTTTCAATACAAAGTGAAATTACAAGGTTCATCTTCTCCCATCACAGCGACTTCACTTTGTCTAAGGTTTGTTTTAAATTTTGTGAAAATTTGTTTTTGCTTTCTTTTTATATATATAGATCTATATATATATATTCTTTAAAAAGAATTACTAGGAGATACTCGGGGACATTCAGGTTCATTACATGTGTCCTTTCAGAAAAATGCTGACTTCTATGGTTTTGTCATTGTAATTTACTACTTTTGTGAATTTGACATTGTATAAAATCAGTTCCAGTTTTTGTCCTGATATATATTGCTCATTGCTTATTACTCATATAATGATTTTTGGCTTTTTAAAGTCTTCCTTTATAACTTTTTTGTGGGTGCTTTTTCCTGGTACATGTTTTTACACGAGATTCTTTTTTTTCTTCATTAATAAAAAAATTGGTTTTATATTTTTTTAGTTTGTGCATGGATGATGTACTGTGAAACCTGTCCAAGATGATCGTCCATTGTTTTGAAAAAGTGGTCATCTTAAGCTGTTTGTTTTTACAGTGTCATCGTAATGTAGAAAAAAAAATGCATAGGGGACTGAAAAATTGTCATTTGTAGAGATGATTGTCTTGGACAGGTAGTCGCTAGAGCAGGTATCGTTCCTTTTTTTGCACATTATATGTGCTCTATGAATGTCATTCTGAGATAATGAGAAAAAAATTATCTCTGCAGCATTTGCACCGATATAACTATATATTATAATAACTATAGCTCAATGTAGTGGTTTTTTCATCGGTAAAGTATATTGTACAAAAATGACTAAGATTGTAAACCTTTCTCCGTTTCAGCCGTAAACGGGGCTTGTATTCCAGGGACAGAAGCAAGTTGTTCCTAAAGCAGCACTGTGAGCCTGTGAATGGACTATGGAAAGTGAAGGTTGGTTTAATTTAATTAGTACAGTCGAACCTGCCCTGACGGCCACCTCTATAAGACGGCCACCTGCACAACGGACACTTTCCATTTCCCCCCTTGCGTTTTTTCTATATAATTTAACTGTGTAAAACGGGCACCTGTCCAACGCGGCCGCGGCCACCATATTTCAACACACAACCCCTATCACACAAAGCAATAACACCTGTCTTAGACGGCCACCTTAGTGACTCCATTACGCTTTGTCATAAATCAAGCATTGGCCCCTGGCGTTGCGGGCGAGCCGTCATAATCCAAAGACCTGTCGTTGTTAGGTAGTCCCTCGAACTGATCATGTTGCGTAGGCCCCTCCCACTGTTGACCAATAGGTAACAAAATTAATTTTCAGCTGCTGGGGAGGGAAGCGTGTGATCCTTCATAACCCATAAGCCCCGCCCAGAACCTATACACAAATCGCAAGTGAAATGAGTGGTCACTGTTTACCCAGTCTGTAACAAAGTAACAATGGACGTCAGCATGAACTTGTGACAGAAGCGTTGCTTGTTCTCCGAGTGTTAGTACGTGTGTTTGTTCTACCATAGGCTAGCACTTGGTCCTCCTTGTTTGACACATTTCGTTTTATTGTCACTCGTGCACAAAAGCAGCAACAAAAGAAAAGAAAACCCAGCGAAAACAACAACAACAATGCAACTACCTTCGGTTGGGACCTGAGAAAGGGAGGGTTTGTTTTCTCAGAAAGGAATGGTTTGTTTTCTTCATCTTGATCAATCCTGCCTAAGACGGCCACCTGTCTTATACGGCCACTTTTCTCCTTGACAATGGGGGGTCGTCTTACACAGGTCCGACTGTATACCTCCAGTGTTTATTCAGAAAAAAAATTGTGTGCATTGCTCATCAAAGATTAGCAAACCATTATCATCTGTTTGTATGAAAGTTCTGCATAGTCAGTGCTTAATACACATGTTTTCAAAGAAGGTTTAAAATATTGGCTGAAGTTGCCAGCTGTGCTTTCTACCGTTACGACTACATTTTCATTTGTTTTGATTTTAGTTTCATGCTCAAAATGTTTCAAGAGGCTCAAGCAAACTTTGAAATTCCCACCTCATATAGTTAAGAAATCAAGTAGCTTAGGGAAGTTGACTTTGCTGAGAATGAATTAGTGCTATCGTCAAATATCTCGACTTCTATTCAAGATAGATAAGTATATTTTTTTCTTTGTCATCAAAAGTGAAAGAAATGAACAAGTTTTAAGATGGTACACAACTCTATGCCCCCCAAAAATGATGAAAGACAGAAAATAGTGCGTCATGACACAATGTTGTTATAAAAATGTTCTAAATTGACTTGTTTCCATTTTAGGAGTCAACTTTGAAAAAACTGAACTTGGGCTCTGCTAAGTTTGAGGATTTTTTTGCCGGCCCTGCTCCAGGGTTTGAAGTATCGACCATCAAGAGAAAGATCAATGCGAAAAAGTCGTTCGATGTGCCAGGATCGTCCATTGAGTTTGAAGAGCCACCTCCAGTAAAAAGTAAGTAAGACGAGGAGGAAAGGGGAGAAAAAATTTGCCTTGTACTCCTAAGTGGCTGTGCTGGAGGAAGATGATTGTGGGAAGAAGATGGAAGGTGTTTGTTTGAAGTTCTTGTCATTCAGTAAATGGGGAGCATACACAGTGATGAATATTTGTGAATCTCAATATCGTGTTGATGCAGCTACAGCCAATCCAGCTCTAACAGCCACCTGTCCAAGACACCTGTAAAAACGACTGTTTTCCATTTTCCCCTTGTCTTTTTAAAATATATATTTTAATGGCACTTTCCAAGACGACTGCCTTTCTCTTCAACAATAGATAGCTGTTTTGGACACTTTCAAATGTTTCAAATAAATTTGTCTTGCTTGCAATTTTAGGATGTTATTCTATTTCGTATGTGTTCAGTAAAAAATTATTTCAATTTTTGTTTTAAGGCCCACAGGTGGAATATGTGCCCTTGCCTACTCCTGAAGATAGGGCTCTGATGAAAGAAAAATTGAAGCTGCTGAAACTGGAGGAAAAGAAAAAGATTTTGGAAGAGAAAGAAGCGAAGAGAGAAGAGATGAGGAGACAAATAGAAGCTGAAAAAGTTAGGAGGAAGGAAGAGAAAGAAAAGGTGGGTGTATGATTGACATTGCTATCTTCCTCTCAATATAATTTTTTTTTAAAATGGGAAACAGGTTTGCTACAAAGCTCTTTTGAGTAAATAAAAGCAAGTCTTATAGGGAAAATTATAGTCTATGCTGAAACATAGAATGTCTGTTCAGTGTATGAAAATTGTGTTCATAAAGTGTTGTGTATATTGAATGTTTGAGAGCGTTTTGGACAAAAACGAATTAAGACATTATAACTATGAAACAAAATACAGGAACTCAAAAAAGGAAGTTCTGAATGTTTCTTATTGTGAAGTAAAAGAAATGTTTTTCAATATGTCCTGTATTGTTCCATATTTAGGAGCGGTTGAGGAAAATGGAGGAAAAAAGACGAGAGCTGGAGCTGTACAAAGAGTGGGCCAGACCCAGAGATGACTTGGAGTGTGATGATCTAAAGGTACAGTGCCCTTCAGTACCCTGTAGATTTTTTGTCTTATCTGAATACCCTCTAATTGTTTTTGGAAATAAAGATGTTCCTTTGCCTCAAATGTAAAGTATTCCAGATGTACAATAATTCGAGAAATTGTATTACATTTATGTGCCATGCTTATTACGACTCATTAGAAGTTATATTGTTTAACGAAGCATATCTGATTTTTACCACGAACAATTTATTTTCAGGTTTCCTGTATTTTATGTTGCTGATTTTGCATTTATTTTCCTTAATGAAAATTTGTTGATAGACATGTTATGAGTTACTGTAGATCACTATTACTGCTGAAACAAAAACAAATTTTAAAAAAAATTTTGATTGTGTCCTCAGGAAATGCCAGAGTTCGTTCCAGTGCGTACGAGAGTTCCAATAGATTTGTTTGGAGATGCTGTGATGATTTTGGAATTTGTTCACATATTCAAGTCCATCTTTGATTTCAAGCAGTTTTTTCCAAAGGGATTCACATGGGGTAATTAGTTTTGATACAATGGACACATGAATCTTCTTTATCTTGTTTTATATGCTGCACAAAATTTTTTCATTAATAAGCTTTATTGGTGTCAATTTGGATTTTTGCACTATATTCAGGCTTTTTAGAATATCGACAAGGTGCAAACTGTCAAAGAAAGTTATTTAAAAATTTGGCATTGGAATGTATTTGCCTTGTATATATGTTACTTTAACATCAATGTCAAAAGGGTGTTGTTTGGAATAACGAAAAGTTTAATGTTCGTTGTACATAGCATCATGCCCTTTTTCTCAATTATGTACTCGTTTGTTTAATTAGTCTGACAACTGTGATCTAACTGTGCATTTTGTTTGAAATTTAGCAAAAATTTGGTTTATTCATATGTGTATACAGGAATGGTGGAATCTGCCTTGATGGATCATGAACCAGATGGGCCTCTGTGTGACCTACTGCAGATGCTCCTTTGTGCATTGTTCAACCTTCAAGAGGAAGAGGCAGAAGAATATCAAGAGTTAGAAAAAGAGGAAACAACAAAACATAGTAAGTGGGAAGTCATCATCATCATTGCCTTTCTCACCCTGCACCAGGGTATAGACCACGGACAAACACCCTCCACTTTTCTCTATCCTGGGCTAGCCTCTTGATGTTATTCCATGTCTTCCCACTTTTCTGTACATCGATTTCTGTGATTCTTCTCCAGGTTCCACGAGGTCTTCCCTTTGACCTCTTGCCCTGTGGGTTCCAATCCAAAACTTTCTTTGTTATGCAGCTGCCTGACTATCTCAGAGTATGTCCAATCCATCGCCACCGCCTTCTTCCTACCTCATCTCTGACTAGGATCTGTCTTGTTTTCCATAACACTTCCACATTGGTGACCCTGTCTGTCCATCTGATCCTCACTAACTTTCTTAGACACCTGTTCAAGAAAACCTGGATCCTCTTTATACAAGTCTGTGATGCGTTCCATGCCTCACATCCATACAACAGGACCGACTTCACGTTTGAATTGAAAATCCTCAGCTTTGTTCGAAGTGATATATCTCTGGTCTTCCAAATCCTATCCAAAGATATGAAAGCAGCCTGTGCTTTTCCAATGCAGGACTTAATTTCAGCACCTGTTCCTCCCTCTCTGTCAATTATGCTCCCAAGATAGCAGAAGGATTCAACGTTTTCTAGTGCCTTTCCTTCTATTGTGACCTGCTCCTTTCGTTGTGCATCTGTCTTTTGGACCTTTGACTTTCCGGGGTGGATCCTCAATCTAACAGACTCCAATAGGCTGTTTAATACTGAAGTCTTTGCTTGCATCTGTTCCTGGGTGTGCGACAGAAGCGCCAAGTCGTCTGCAAAATCCAGATCGTCCAACTGTGTCCATGGTGTCCACTGTATACCATTTCTGTGGGAAGTGATTATTTTAAATTTAGATTTGTTTAGGTTTTTCTTAACATAAGAAAATTTATTGTTTAAATGAAATGCCTGCTTTTTGTGATTTCACAAATCCCAAATGTGTCACAAACATTTTGTCTTCTCGTTTCATTATTCTTTTATGCAGCATCACATTGCAGACCTATGTTATTATGTCTTTTTTTTTTTTTTCATTTAAAAAGTTGCTAAAAAATAGTTTTTTTGAAGCTGTGTACTGTAAACTATTTAGGAAAATATGTTAGTCTCCTGGTAAGATTATATCTTAGAGATAATAGTGTGTGCAACAGTACTTTTTTGTATGGTTTTTCAACTGTTTGTTATGAATCTTACAGGTTTTCATTTTATTCAAATTTCTCCACAGATGATGAAAAAGATGATGACATGGATGAAGAAGTGTCCGCTAATGAGATGATTAAATCTGCTACAATTATGGCACAATTTTCACAGAATACTCTTGGTATGATTTTTGTTTTTGGTACTGATATTAAACATTTATATTCTGTCTGCTCCCTTTCTGATGTGTGGCTAGTTCTCAAAAGTGTGACCGTGGTATCATTCTGTTTGTAAGGAACTGTGAGTGCTATTGTATGAACCAAGCTAGAATTACAACTCTGTTCGCAATGTGCTTCTTTTGAAATCCATGCTGTGGATTTAATTTTTTTGTTTTTTTGTTGTTGTTTTTTTTTGCTTCATCCTTAGCTGTTCATGTTAAAATTATATTATTGTTTGATGCATAAATTAATGGCCATTTGTTGTGACAGAAATTGCTAGTTTGATGAATGATGGTGTGAGTGTCCTTCAGGAAATTGAGATGGTATAGTATTTGTACTGTGGTCATGTACAACAATTTGTAGAATGTGGGGTCCTTTGTTTTAATTTTGCTAATGAAGAGAAACAGATTTTGATTTACATGTTCAAAATTGTTGTAATAATTTGTCATGGCTTTCCCTTGACATGGTTCACTATCTCTCTGCTGTAATTTACTCTTTTTCATTTGTGGCTCATTCTGTTACTCAAATCCTATTTATTTTCTGTGTTGATATTGTCTAATTCTATTCCCATTATAATGTGGTTGTTTGCTTGTTCCCTGGCCATTACTAAAAATAAGCCTGTCTCAGCTGATACTACCTTGCCACAGTACTATAACTCAAGCTGTGTTTATTGTAAAAAAGTGTTATTTGACTTCTTACCATAACTGTCTATCACAAAGCAGTAGTAGGTTATATTTTGATTATTTCTTTTTTTCTAACAGGCATGCCTTTGAGGGACACACTTCTGGACCAGTTCACCTTGTCAGAGATTCTCAGAATTCACCTGCTGGCCTCTGGGGCTCGGGGTAGTTCGAAAAATGCTCGCTTTCGTTACCAGCAGCGGGGAGGCTACACGTCTCAGGACGACCCTGGCCTGGAGCTCAAGCTGGAGGACCCAACTATAGTGAAGAGCCTCTCGCACAGCAACGTCTTTGACTTGAGTCCAGGTGACATTTTTTGTAGCTTTTTGGGATTTCTCAGCCTGCAGTGTTGTCATGAAGCTATTGCAATATATAAACTTACCAAAGAGTTAAAGGTTGGTGGTTGGAGGGTGCTACTTGAAGGTTTTACTTTTTTTTAAAGTGCACATTTTGCCTTATATTATACAATGTATTCGGAACTATTCCTGGGGCATGTTATTTTTACTTGATTGAGGCTTGCAAAAATTTGTAAGCAATCTGCAAATATTCACAATACACACTTTCACATTTAGTGTCATGCTCTGCATATCACTAAAAATATAATGTTATATCTTGTCACTTACCAAACACACACTCACACACACCCCCTAGTTTTTTCTAACACCACTGATAATCTTCCACAGGAGAAAAAGCCAAGATAATCAGCACTCTGGTTCAACAAATTGTGACGTATGCAATGGTGAGAGACACGATTGAAGACTCAGGGGAGAGGCTGAGGATAAAGAAATATGATCTCAAACAGATGCAGTGGGCAGAGCAGAGGAGGGAAAAAGAAGAGCAAGCGACCAAGTGAGAATTGGTTTTGTCAAACTGAACTCTAGTTTCTTTTTTTTCAAGCTGTACTCTAGTGGCCTTTTCTAATTCAATTTTCTTGTATTTTGTTTATCAGTAAAAAATTTCAAGTTTCGTGATTGGGTGAAAACTAAAGTGAGTCTTTGAAAAGCTTGCAAACATTTTATTAAGAGTATTGTATCACTTCTACCTGAGGGTTCACAACTTTAGTACAGATTTCTTGACTGGCCTGTTGATTCTAATTTGCCAGCTGTCTGCTTGTTGATGTCACTTTATATCTATCAGAGGGCTTAGGGGGAGGTGTTTAAATGGCTTGAGCCTTCCTTTTCTTCAAGCTAAGCTTGTTTTTTTTGGTGTTATGTGTGATATCTGGGACTTTCGCAAGGGAGCAGCAAGGAGACAAGGATGGTTTACCTTTTCAATGCATGGGGGGAACCAATTAAGTAATTTAAGTAATTATTCTTTACATTAATGAAATTTGAAATCTTATTAGGTTTCAAGTTTAAACACACTAAAAAAAGGTTCAGTAACTACTGGTATTGTTTGTCTTGTAAAATGGAAAGTCATCTGTCTCAGCAGGAGGAAGAGTCGGTTGATGGTGTCCCTCTAGAATCGCCAGTTTGAGAATCTGGCAAACATATATTACATTACATACGATACAATTTACTAAGTTTGTTTGGCCTCTACAGAATTTCTTGAGAACTTTTTAAAACAGTCAAAATGCTTTTTGGTTGGTTAGAACTTTAGGGCTGTAGTAATGTTGTAGGTTTTGTTACTACTTGTCACAAACATAATATCATTTTGGCAGATACAAAAAGATGATGGAGGAAAAAGCTCGGGAACAAGCAAGAAGAATGCAGCAGCTTATAGCAGAACAAAATGGGTATGTTTGTTCTTATCAGTTATTCCCTTCATTTTGATTTGTTATGTCGATTTTTATATTTAATGTTTTGCTTTGCAAGTCCACCAAAGCAGTTACTACTTTTGTGGAGAAAAATGGTTCATCTCTGCTACTTACTTTGGTTCATGGCAAAATGGGCCACTTTTATGTTAACTCACCTTTAAATATATCCATACTCTCTCGGGGTCTCGGGTTCTTTCTCTACTGATTGAGGCGGTTTTGTCATGGGCTGAATTGGGATCTTGGCGAGATAGTGCTATTGAAGATTGTTTGACAAAAATTCTGTCATGTTTTATTTAGCTTTGTTTTAATGTTGTCTGATTTACTGATTCATGTTCAGGTGTGAATCTTTGATATCTCAATTTGTGCTTAGTTCTGAAAGGATATTGTTGCCTTATTCTCAGTGGCAGTGGTGCTCTTACCACCCCTTCTCTTTCCTTCTCAGGTTACCACATGATCCAGCAGCCTTCCAAGATGCGAATGAAAAGACGCCAGCACAGAAAGAAGCAGAAAAACAAAAAGAGCATGAAATGGAGACAAGAAAGAAATCTGAGTTCTCTAAGAAGGAATTTGAAATGCTGGAGGAGATTTTGTCTCTACAGAAAATGGTTTCGGTGTACCCAATAGGGCGAGATCGCCTGTTTCGCAGGTACTACTTCTTCACTACTCTGAATGGTCTGTTTGTTGAGGATCACGAGCTGCATGTGCCGGCGGACATGTTGAGACCTGGAGTTGACACTGCTGGAGCGGGGACCAAGGTCAGTTGGTTGTGATAGAATCGATAGATTTGTTATGTGTTAACTTTGGATGTGGCTTGTTGACAGCTACTGTGTGGTGGTTTGTTTGTTCCTACTTTCCTATCAAACATCTATCATTCTTTTATATCTCCTCCTCTTTTTCTTTGTATGTTTCTCCAGTAGGAACACCTCTAATCTTCAGTTCTTATGTAACCTATTTGGTTTGCAAGTGCCATGAAACTTACAATAAATACAAACTAGATTTTTGATTGAAAAAAAAAAGGGAATCAAGAAATCAGTAAGACAGGAATGACTTTCATGAAAGATTGTGAATCTGTAATTTTTTAAGGTTTATTTATTTCCCTGATCTCTTTTCATTAACATTATGTGTGTCCCTTTTATGAAGATTGTTCATGTGGGTGTACAGTTCAAGAAAAATGGATTTGTTTATGGCATAGGAACAAGTGTATATATGTAGCAATGCCCGCCGAGCGCGTTTTGTTCTGCCGATTTTTGGCCCCCGCAGCGGGGGTGTTTCATGGGACGCACTAACGCAAAGGTTGTTGTCTTCAACTCGCTCTCACGCCGCTTCTCGTGAATGGATATGAATGAAACTTGGCAGCCAATCAGAAAAGAGGTCAATCTCGTAGTATGCAGTTTGACAACATTGTACCCATCCTAGAAGCAGTCGAAAACGTTTGTGAAAGTGGTTGATGTGGTGCGCTTTGAAGATTTTTCGGAGCTGTGATTTGTCAAACTGACTGATACGTTGTACACCATTTTTCTTTATTCCCTTAAAATTTCAAGCTTCTGTGTTTAGCGGTTTTGGCGTAATCTTTAAAAATGTGGGAGTAACTAAGGGAAAAAGCGACATTGCCTTTTGCGCGTACTGGGTGAATGCCCTGCGGCTGGGAAATTTCCACTGAGTGACGTCATCAGCCATCGGTCGCCTCGGGCGCTACAAACGAGGCCCCGCTTATGTGAACCGGAAAGGGGGGGAAGGATACTTGAAAACTAAACGGGGGCCTTGATAACTTGCGTTTTTGTTGCATTTTAGTCACAATACAATAGATGTAGTCATTTTTATTTGCTTGATTGCATGACAGAAGAATAGAAACAGAAAAGCAAACATCTTGAGAAGTGATATGGCATTGTGTTTGCGTTATAAAGCCTATTCCCCCCTCTTGGGAAAGCACACACTTGGACTCGTCCTGTGTGCTCTGTTTGTAAAAGTGAGGCATTAAGATTGTTATTAAAGAGTATGGTACTTATTTAGTCCAGTCTGGGAAGATAGTCCCGTTTATACATTGTTATCGTTCACGCGTGCGTGAGTGCGCGCGCGTGCATGTGTGTGTGTGTGCGCGCGCGTGAGAGAGAGAGAGAGAGGGGGGGGGGGGGTGTAAATATGTTACATTTATTGTATGAGTTGTAGCCTACACATGCGAAATATTCCCATGACTTGTAAACTATATTATCTGAACGCATCTTAATCTACCACACAATAGGGCACTGTCCAACAATGGAATATGCACAGAGACGATCTTATTTTCTATAACAAAGTATGCATGGTTTTACTAGTACAGAACTGGATTAATTAGACTAATAAATCCAGCTCTCTACTTACATTTTTGTGACAAATTGATCCAGAGCATAGCTTGGCAAGGAAGAACCTTTTATGTTGCCAAGTTTCATTCAAATATCATGACTTTGGGAGAACATATGACTGATAATCTTTGTAAATCTGTAAAGAACGCCACTTTTTTACCTGTTAATGTCTTTACAACTCAAAAAGTATGACAGATATTAAAAATCTGACTGCATGACTAGATTCTGCATTTAAAAATGTACTAGACTGCAAAGTTTCATTTACATATTCCAAGAAATAGGCGAGCTATGACAAATATTGTTTCAAAACGCACCGAAAACCACCACATTTTTACCTATAAACGTCTTCATAACTCAAAAAATAGGATAGCTATGAAAAATCTGAAAGCAGGACTAGATTCTGCACTAGAAAATGTACTGGGTTGCCAAGTTTCTTTTAAATACTCTGAGAAATGAGTGAGTTATGACGAATATTGTCTCAAAGCTCACCAAAGAACGTCCCATATTTTGGGGGGTTTTCATTATATAAAAGTGTACCAGAAATTAATTGATTAAAAAATCCGTAACTTTTTTGTTTACTAATGGATTTTTAAAATTCAAAAAGTTCCATGCTCAGTGAAGATAAAGCTACAAAATGCACCTATTTGCAAACACTTTCTGGCAAAAAAAGGTTTTTCGTGGTCATTGCTAATATATGTAAAAGTTAGTCCTGGATGAAGTGAAATTTCCCTATCTCTATGTATTGAAAAATATAATGTCTTTGTCACACTCATTACCCAAGTGCCATAGGTGTTTAACTTTGACCTCTTTCGGTCTAAAATGGACCCTGTTTAAAAAATTTTTAAAAAAATAAGTTTTGATGAAAGTAAATCTTTAAAATATTTTTTTATAAGTGCACAAGCAGTTAACTGAAGTCCTTTACAAATAGACTTGGGCCTTTGTGGAATGAGAGTTCAAAGGACAGTTATCCCTTAAATTGGGACTGGTATTTCATTGTTGCTCTTTAAAGGAAACACCTGGGAATTCTTCTTTTCAGCTCAAATTGTTACCAGAACTTTCATTCCAAGGAGAAGATAAAGAGAACAGCTCCGCCCGTAAAGCTAACGGAGATGACTGCATTGTTATCAGTGACGATGAGAATGGAGAGAAACAGGGAAGATCGAATGGTGCAAAGTCTCTGGATGTAAAAGAGGAGACGGCAGAAGGCAGCAATGACAGGGACTCTCCGCCAGTTTTAGAGAGTATGGATTCACTTCCTGACCAGCAGAAACAATCTCAGAATCCCACGTGGTCATTTATTGACACTCCAGAGCACTTGGATGCATTGATAGCCTGCTTGAACACGCGTGGTTTCCGAGAGTGTGCCCTGAGGAGTGCTTTGATGGAACTGAAGGCACTGTTGGTGCACTCCCTGCGGGACTGTCCCACAGACATGCTTAGTCTTCCAGAGGATGGAGGAGAGGAGAAAGCCAGGATCCAGGTAAGCAGAAATTTCTTGGGGATTTTGCCTGGGGCTGTAACTGTGTGTCGTTCTGCTTTCAAAATGATACGGACATTTTTGTTTTATGGATGTATAAATTGTTAGGTCTAGTAGAATTACTTTAAGTTTTAGGGAGCCTGAGTATGGGGAGGATTTTATGCAAGTTAACTTATATTGTTTCATTTTATGTGTGGTCCTTACTGATCTGTTTTTGTTTTTTAAACGGAGCGCCCCACCCCCAACCCCAGCAGTAGTTGAGGGCTTGATGTTGTCTACATGTGCAATAAGGGCACAGTTTGATTATTACTTATTATTGGATTTCTACTTCTTTTTGATCAACGCATTGATAAGATGCTGACTTACACTTTATCCCAATGATTTTGTGTTTCAGGCTTTAGCTCTGACTCGTGGCATCTCCAGCAAAAAGGCAGCTCAGGATGCCATGACAATGGAAAAGGCCGAAGTCACAATGGAAATCAATCTCAGGGATGCTATTTTGGATATGGAGGATCGAATCCATGTCGGGGCACTTGGCTCTCTCAAGGTAGGAAAAAATCCTATGAGTAAACTATTGAAACTGAGAGACTGGATCACTTCAGAAAATCATAAAAAGGTCATAATAATAGCCTCAACAGAAGAAATTTACTTTGGACATCTGTGGCAAAGACCTTTCTTCTACATGCGTGTACACTCACTCTTTGCATCTGTAAACTACTAGAGATAAGACTTAGACTCATGTCAGGGACCTAACAGGGCTCCCCTTTACGCACATTTGTGCGTATATTACCCCTTAAACCTGAAAATTACCCCCTTAAAGTTTTGGTGGTGCGTGAGCTTTACTCTTTAAAATTTCGTTTCGGGGGTTTGCATACGCTTTAAAACTCAGGTAGTGTGCGTCTTGCAATCATTTCCCCCCTTCTCTACCCCGAAGCCGAGTAAATGATAACTACACACCCACACACATAACTCCGCAGTCACCTTTTGTCTGGGACTCTGTGTCAGAAGCAGAAGACCTTGAATCTGCTCATCAGCTGCACGCAGTTCCCGGCAACACCGGCTTGCTTGAGCACAGAAGCTCCGCCTACATTGTGGTCGCTTGCATTATATTTGCCGGTGTCGTGCCTTGAATTTACCCTTGCCGTGAGATTTCCCCCATCCTTCTTTAACACACTAGATCTAGTAAACTTGAATTGTCCACCATCGAACAACTGGGATGGCTCTGAAGAATAAGGAATTAGACTCTAGTTTATTTTCCAAACCTGCCACTCATCACGATGTAATCGGGATATCCAGATTTTTTGCCCCAAATTTCCAAGCATGTCGATTTTCCCAATGTTGATTCCGTGTATTCGGATAAAAAAAATAATTTTTGGTTCCGTCTGTTGTGCCGGATTTTTTGTAAAATCTTACTCTGCCTTCTTTTCTGTCGTGGGAAGCACTCGTTAAACTTTTTGTCAGCAGAAACTCGAAGCACTATTTTCCTAAATGTCTATGTCGAATTTAGTTGTTGTGTTGGATCTTTGCACGCCAGTGTTGTTTCAAGAAACACATGTATAATGGAAGTAGTATTGGTTGGGAATTCCGACTTGGGACATTCTCAAGACCTAGGCCCTAAATCATAATCATTTTCGCTTTTATTTTTGTTTCAACTCAGAATTCTCCGATGATGGCCTGACTGATAGCTGTTTAGTTTAAATTACGACGCACAAATGATGAATATTATTCGTAGTTCGTAGTTCTGCTAGTATTACTTTCAAAACAAGCTTTATCCGAGTTCTGGTCAGCCGGGCTCGTCATCAAGACCCGTCAGTAAAACTCTTTCAATCGCGCTTTCGCACCACGTGACATGTCTCTGACCAAAGTGAGTTCCGCGTGTGTCGTGGACCGTCCGTTAATTTAAGTTCATGCACACCGGCTGAAGCGTCTTTCGGGACTTATCTGGCGGGGCGGGCGCGTGTAAAACACTTAAACTAGGACAGCTTGACGTGATACTTCAGGATAAAAAAAAAATAATGGTAAAACACACACAGGCACGGGTACGCACACGCACACACACACACATCCCTGGAAATTGTTTAAGTCAGTTTGGCAGTGACCTTGGTGATTTGTCGTTGATCCCGATCCCCCCCCATCCCACTGAGATCCTGACTTTTAGTTTTTTTAAAGTTTTAGTAGAGGTTTTACGGCGCTCACAACTGCATACGGTCATATGAGCGCCAAGGGGTGGGTGTCAACAGAGAAGTCCTTACAGGGAATCAGACTTACTCTGCTCTCCTCTCTAGCTTCAACAGCACAAAGTCTGCTTTGACTATCAAGGCACCCCGGAAATAGCGGGTCACCAGAGTGTGACAAACATACAAAAGAAGTAGAGGAAAATGACGATAATAAGGATTAGGAAAGAAAAGGCAGCACAGTTATGAGTATGACATTGTTAGATCAGTCCATTTACAATTCTACTGAGCACTAGAACGAGAAATGTCCCCCCTTTGGGAATGACCTAAAGACACTTCAGTCAGTGGCACCGCCCCAGGGGGTGATCCTGACTTTTAGATTTCATTGATTGGCAGGTCTGATTTTCTTTGTGCATTACAGTTGGAATTGACCCCTTTTGGTTTGTCAAATTTATTTTATTTTTGATTGGCTCAACCACCACCGCCCTTCCCCCCTCCAAATGGACACAACTCTAAGTGTAGTCAATACTACTCATTTATTTCTTGCTGTTACTAAGAAACCGTAAGTTAATAATAATAATAATAATAGATAGCATTTGTATAGCGCATATCCCCGCTCAACAGCAGGCTCTATGCGCTTTACACTATATTATTACCCCAGCAGACCATAGAACACTCTGAAACATTCTCAGCTTCCCGGGAAGCATACAGTGGAAGCAGCCGATTAAGCACTCAAACACTGACAAACTGACAAGATCTTTCGCTGTCTATAGCCGGGTACCCATTCCCACCGGGTGAAGTGAGGAAATTCGTGTAAAGTGCCTTTCCCAAGGACACAACGTCGGGCCCTTGACGGGATTCGAACCCACGACCTCACGGTTGCAATTAAAAAATTGTTAGCATTCAATCATAGTAATGGTCACTATAATATATGTGTGTCTTAGTTTAGTTTAGTACAGGGTTTTACGGCGCTCGCAACTGCATAAGGTCATATGAGCGCGCGAAACACAAGTTGATAGCATTCGCAACAGTTCACTGCACGGTTGGTCGACAGTTAGACTTTAAAATGCTAAAATACTAAAATTCAGTGTAAATATATTTGCGATTTAAAACAACTCTTATAAATTTTATAACAATAAAAATTTTGTGTCTGTGAATGTGCGTGCATGTGAGTTAAATGTTTACATGCAAAAATTCTTACTATAAAATTAGGAAATAATTGACTTTTACCCTTTAAGTTTCTAAAACAAGGGTTTAAATAACCCTTAAGATAGAAAACCAAAGGGTGAAAGAACCTCGTAAGTTGGTCTGAAAAGGGGAGCCCTGCCAAAGCAAGTGGTTGGTGAGCTCCAAGCTTCAGTTCGCTTCTTCTTACTTTTTTGTTTCAGTTAACCTTTTCCTGACGGATATGTATTCCCCATTTCTAGGAGATCTATTTTTAGATTCTCAAGGTACTTTTACAAAAAACAATAACTCTGACAAATATTTACCACATTGGAGAGTTGATCCCTCAAACTATAGGAAATTGCACAGACAACATGAGCATTAAACATATGTGGAAAAAAATGTGCATAGAAAGAATTATGAGAAGTGGAAAGGGGGGGAAAAAGTAATCAGTAAGAACACCACATGGAGTGGTGATGCGTAGGTAAGGGTACCTTACAGTTGACCTCTTAGAGTGGTGAGCTGGAGGGAAAGGGTCAATGTAGTCTTGCTCCTTGTCTGTTCTTACTGAAATTTGGCTGTTCATTATGCTTTCTCGCTGACCCCTTGTGTTATGTGACCTTTGTCGTGCTGACTCATTGTTAACTCTACTTTTCATAACAAAACCTGACAGTTTTCGAATGATTGCATGCTCCATACCTACGTCAACACAATAAGGATCATTTAACCATTACACCACAGACACCGCAGTAGGTGTTCTGACGCAGAGCAAAAACTAGGAAGGGAAGACGCGCATAGAGGCCACTAAGCGTCTAAGGGGTGGGCCGTCGGCTGAATTAGTCTGCACGTTAAACATGCTCAGCCAACCGCAGGGCCTTGTGATAGGCTGTGCCAAAAAATGTTGTGCTCTGTGTTACATATGTGTTTGTTTATGTTTTCATTTTAACCTCTGATTTAATTCATTTGATGTAATATTGTGATTGATGGTTATGGTTTGTGTAAGTGGAATTTTGACAATAGAATCTAGATAGATCTAGATCAATCATCTGGTCCGTTTCATTAAGCTTAATAATCTCATGAATTGGTTTCTCCTTTGATGTTCGGTTTGATGACGATATTGTGTTTTTCCATTCGGGATTTATTCAGTCAGTGACACTTTTATTTTTCATGGTCGTATCGATCTGTTTTGGTTTGTTCAGCCAGTGACACTTTTATTCAGTCATGGATGATGGAAACAGAGACATCAGTACCACTGCCAAAGCCTAAGAGCAAGAGTCAAAGGCAAAGACACCATGTGCAACATTGCTCAGGAATCAATTGTAAAAATAACAGATATGCAGATATGACCACCCTAATATGTCTTTTTTTAGGTTCTCTATGGATATAGATAGGAGTCGACTTTGGGTTATCAACTGCTATAATACTTTCATTTTAGGGGGACAGACCTTAAGAGATATATATAGATAATATCTAGAATCTAGATCTGCCCCGGTCCTCAAAGTGCTTATTCATTCTTTTATCTATATTATATATTGTTTATCTTTGTTTTAATGAGCACGCTCTAGGTGTAAAATCTAGATATCTATTTACAAATACGGTATTTGTTTACTTAGGAATGGTAAAAAGCACCTTGATCAGCTGATCGTGGATGCATAATTATAATACGCGAATACTAGGCTCGCTGACTGGCGTGCCTCGCGCAACTTGCATTCGACTTCACGAACTAACTCGGTCCGCGGACAAGGGAATAGAGAGGCAACGCTTCGTCTTATCTTCCTAGTTTTAGCTCAGAATCATGATATATTTATAATATATGCACTACAAGTCAAGAACAAAAGTACTTTGGAGATGCTGTAAGCAATGGTAATATTTCTATGTGGTGATCTTTGATTTTGCTATTTCTTCACCAGATCAAAGATCGAACAGCATGGAGAGAGGCTTTGCTAGACAGAACGTACGACAGTCAGACGAATGACCCAGCGTTTGCCCCCAGCAGCAGGCCACACTTAAATGGGTACATCCTTGTTAAGATACTCTGTGTGAAGATAGAACAGTTCTGTCAGAAGGGAATGGTATTTGTTTTAGATTAATGTAGAAGTGTTTTTGAATAGGACTTTTCTTTTGATACTACATAAAAACCCAAACAGTTCCAAATAATTAATTTAGTTTAGACTTTTCATTATTACATGCAGATTGTTTTTTTGGTTTTTTTACATCTGTAGTACTTTGACAGTGTTTGCTAACTTCCCAGGGATTACTAGTGAGAAGAAAAGGTTTTTAAAAATAACCATGGGAAAGATGTTCCCACAAAGAAAATTTTAATGTCTCGCTTTGTGTTCTGTTGGTATCTTTTCAGTGGAGAGGAGATGCCGTCCATTACCTCAGAGCCTGAGCCTGTGGCACGTGACTTGGCAAAGGCCCTTGTACAGATTGCGCGGGGAGTTGAACTTCGATTCTTGAGAGAACCGTTGAGTAAGTTACCTGTTGCCAGTGAAAGTTGCAAGCACAACTTTATCACAGATTGGTTCTTTTTATATCCTCCATTTTAAGATTTTCTCTCATTTATTATGTGGATCTCTTAAGATTTTCATGTTTTTTTGCTGCTGTCTTTCACTGTTCTTCATTATGTTTTGAAGAAGTGAAACGTGAAAAAGCTGAACTTGTGTCCTGCATTCATACTTGGCGTCGGTGGCCTAGTGGTTAGGCTCTCGGACTCGCAACTGTAAGGTTGTGGGTTCGAATCCCGCCAGGGACCCGACGTTGTGTCCTTGGGAAAGGCACTTTACACTAATTTTCCTCACTTCACCCAGGTGGGAATGGGTACCCGGCTATAGACACCGAAAGATCTTGTCAGTTTGTTAGTGTTTGAGCGCTTAATCAGCTGCTTGCACTGTGTGCTTCCCGAGAAGCTGAGAATGTTTCGGAGTGTTCTATGGTCTGCTGGGGTAATAATATAGTGTAAAGCGCTTAGAGCCTGCTGTTGAGCGGGGATATGCGCTATACAAATGCTATTTATTTATTATTATTACTTATAGCAGAAATCACTTTTAAAAAAGGGAGTGCTTATTTAGGCCACATATGGCCTAAATAAGGTAAGGGAGGGGGGGTTAGCTTATTTAGGCCACACATGCTCAAACTACCGGGGGGACACCCTTTTCAGGCGACTGAGTTCGTTCCACTTTCATAATGGTGCACCCTTCTCATTTAGTACAGTTTTGTCTCAGTGTACAACTTTTATATATCATAATGAATATTGTAAGAACAAAGCACGATACGCAAAATTTTGCTCAACCCCAATGGTTTGAATGAGGGCCAGATTTTTCCTTCATGGAGGGGCAAAATCTAGAGGCTACCATTTTGGCACATTTTGGTCAAGTGAAAAGGTCAAATCCTCCAAATGGACTTCCGGGTCAAATTTGGGGTATAAAAAGTGTGTACACAATGTGGCTGAGTCGAAGTTACACTATCTTTGCCTGGGTGGCACTCTCTCGTACTGTCTCGTAGTAGTACATCTCTCGTACTGTCTCGTAGTAGTACATGTAGATCTAGTAGTAGTAGTAGTAGTAGTAGCAAAGATCATGTAGAAATTCTTTGGTAGTAGATTCTATCTAGTAGGCATAGTTTAGTGAACGTGCACGCGGCAGGGCGAATCAGCCTCGATAAGCCCCGTAGACCTTTGTGATCGGCCACGAAGCCTCGTGTTTTGATGGGTCTAAACAACTTAGTGTTAATCGCACTGCCACATCCGACAGGCCTACATCTTTTTAAAAGCAAAAGAAAGGTCATCAAAATGGTTGAATTTGCGTGAAAATCGATTCGGTAGAACTGGAACTATTAAAATTTGCTTCTGAAAACAAGTTACAAGGCCATTTTTATAACTCGATGAAATAAAAACTACTGGCTGTGTTATTCTGTATAAGTTATGAAACTTCAGGACGTATTATTATTTTCCAACATCTTTTGACGCCTTAGCTGTAGAGGTTGAAGTTTTCACAACACTAATAGATCTAGTAATAGGGCTTTCCGTAAAAAAATGCATAGATCTACAAAAGCCGAACCACCGTATCGACCGGTCAGCGACCCGGGCACCCCGCTCTCCCCTGCACACTGTGATAACATGTTGCTTCGGTATAATTATTTAACTATTAATACGTGCGACTATGGCAATTGGGATGTACTGCCTGACAAAGCGATTCACAGTTTTGTTTTTATTTTACCATATATTTGACTTTATTAGTGCAGGTGATAGCTAGATCTAGATTCCCTGTCTAGAATCAGTAGTAGCAGGCCTATGCTAGAAGCAGCCAGAGAGCCTACAACTGCTAGATCTAGATCTAACTCATTGCTATGCCTTTGGGCTTTGAAATTGAAATAAAACGAATTGTACAGTTCTAGTTAATTTTAGATTCAACAACTATCTATCTGTATTTCCATAATAACAAATCTCACCATAACAATCACTTTTACTTTTATTAGAATAGTTACATCCAACTTTTTTTTCTAAAATCTGTTTTGCGCAAACTTAAGACTTTCTCTACTAATCTACTTGTAGAGCACAGAATTTACATTGTAAGCCTCTGCTCAGTCTTTTACTTTTAAGTATATATATAGGCTACATATAATAAAATACGTATAGATCTAGATCTATATAATCATTTTATGTTATTTTCTGGATATTTTTAAAACTCTTTTTTTTAACATGTCATAAAGTCAAATTGTGCCTTTTCTTTGATAAGAATAGCATTAGCAGTGGACTTTTTAGACAGTGAGTCTCTAGTTCAATGTTTAAAAAAAAATATGCTAATCAATGAAAATTGCAAATTGATAAAAGTATTGTCCTGTAGAGGATAGGTGGACTCCGGGGTCTGCATAGCGAAATACTAGGTTTTAGGGTGTGAACCCCGGAGTCACCGTAGTGAAATAAGGTTTGGTTTAAGTAAGGATTGGTGGACCCCGGGGTCAACGTAGTGATAAATAAGCAGATCATGTTTAAGGTGGACCCCGGGGCCCGGGGTCTATCTAGCGAAATACTAGGTTTTAGGACAGGTGGACCCCGGGGTCACCGTAGTGAAATAAGTAGATTTCTTTAAAGATCAGTGGACCCCGCGGTCACCGTAGTGAAATAAGTAGATTCTCTAGGTTTCTTTAAAGATCGGTTGACCCCGGGGTCATCGTAGTGAAATAAGTAGGTTTAATTTTTTAAAAATTAATGGACCCCGGAGTCACCATAGCCGCAGAAGAATAAGAAGGTTTAATTAAGGATTGGTGGAACCCCGGGACACCGTGATTAAACCTACTTATTTTACTATGGTGACCACATGGTCCACCTATTCTAAAACCTAACTAGTATTTCGTTAGGTAGACCCTGGGGTCCACCTTAAACCTACCTATTTCACTACGTTGACTCCAAGGTCCACCAATCCTTAAAATTAAACCTAGATCTACGTGTACTTATTTCACTACGTTGACCCCGGGGTCCACCAATCCTTATTAAACCTAGATCTACTTATAATTTCACTACGTTGACCACGGGCTCCGCCAGTCCTACTATAAAATAAACTGAGATCTACTTATTTCACTATGTTGACCCCAGGGTCCACCGATCCTTAGTTAAACCTAGATCTACTTATTTCACTACGCTGACTCCGGGGTTCACATCCTAAAACAGCATTTTGTTAGGTAGACCCCGGGGTCCACCTATCCTTTTGGGGCTAGATAGACCCCGTGGTCCGCCTATCCACTTCCTTGATAATAACTGAAAAACATGCCAGTTGTCATGAATAGTGAAGAAAAATGTGGAAAAAAAAGATAATGAGGTAGACTATAATTTGTCCAAAAAAATGCAAGTGCAAGTGAAGATCATAAGATAATTTTGTTATTTTCTGGTCATCTTTTCACGGTTTATAAAATGTTCCAGTGGGCCTACTACTAGATCTATGTCTCTGAAGAACATTTTACTTGACTTTATTAGCTTTTTTCAAATACTTGAAAGCATAGATATAATAGTTTCACTCAAATGTATGCACAATACCTTGAAAAAGAAAGATATAAGGTCATTGTTGAGAAAAGCGCTAAAAACAAGTTCAAATTTTTTAAAGAATGCCCATAATATTAGGAATCCGAAATTACTACCTTGATCTAGTTTGCTTACTCTTTAATAACCATGAGCTGTTAAGAAAAAAAGAGAATGATATAGGATTTGTCTAAATATGACCATTAGTATTAGCATTATAAAGATATTGCCCATTTTGTCCAATTAAATCCTTGCAGGTAAAATCACCATGTACTGCACCTCAATAAGCACAAAAAGAATATTTCTGTGACTTTGTATAAAGGTGTTTTGTAGTTGAGTTCTATGTAAAATTCTCAACAAAATAATGTTCATTTGGACCGTACAACTGAGATAGACACTCATGCACACAATAACATTCACATATTACACACATACACACCTACAAACACACTATTACATTTACTCTCTCTTTCTAGATCTCTCTCTCACCACAACCACACACAAAACAAACACATACTCACACACACACACAGACACACAACTCTTACCCTTGGTCCACTTATCATTTAGTATCATCCTCTATTTTGAAATAATCCCCCGCACTAAATAAAAAGATCAGTAGAATCTCGACCTTCCGAATCCATGGTTAGTTCAAGAAATCTACCATATGATGTGGCCTAAATAAGATAAGGGAGGGGAGTTTAGCTTATTTGGGCCTCAGTGTGGCCTAAATAAGGTAAGGGAGGGGGGTTTAGCTTATTTAGGCCACAGTGTGGCCTAAATAAGGTCACCCTTTAAAAAAAAGAATTTGAGTTATGTACATACCCAGATATAATGACAGAAATGTTGTGATGTTATTTCTGTATGATCTCTGCACTTGCCTAATGTCATGTATTTCTCAATTTTTCAGAGGAAGATGAGTCCAAGAAGAAGAAAGCAGCTTCAAAAGATAAAGAAAAGAAGAAGAAAGAAGACGAGGAGAGTTTTGAAGGTAGATCTCTTTGCTGCATTTAAAAGAGTGCAAGTTGATCGTACATTCTTTTGAGAGTTTTCTAGTCTCCACATATGTAAGGGCTTTCTGAAAAGTGATGTGCAAATTGAACAATTTTGTGTAAAACGTAAATTTTCATTTCTCTGATCCAGTGGCCACCTGAGTTGGAGCTTTTCAGCATAAACATGAATAAAACTTGCATATCTTAAAATAATATCTGTCACTTACTCCTTAACATACTGTAAAATCTCAGCATAAAGTACTTCCTTAGGATCCGAGATTTTGAACATCTTAGCCTATAAATGGTTGTTACTGGGGAGATTACAGAGTGTCAATTGGGACATTTTTCTTTGGACTGTCATCTCTCTGTTCCTTATGGCTATCTGGCATTTGCACAAAGATTTTGTTTGAAAATTGCTTGGAAATCGCAAAATATCTTAAGCTTCTGTTTTCATTGAAATTTTGATGTCTGATTCATGTGAATCTTTTTTACTTAGACCCAGTTTGTTTTTTGTTTTGTTTTTTGTGAGAGGGGTTTTTCTCTCGATGAAATCTTAGGAATAGACTCTAACCTGTGGGCTCTTTCTCTGAAATCTGCAAATTGTTAAACTAAAAGATCTATTTTTGTAACATCTTCCCAACTCCAAATTGTTGCCTCTACTTGTGGAGAGGATTTATATCCCCATCGTGTATCATCAGATTCTGAGGAAAATTCGAGTAGCTCCAAGAAGACAACGACTCTCTACGAGCGATGGGAAGAGTCCCTGCTGGGTGCCACCAGCCTCTCTCAGGTCTACCTGCACCTGGCCACTCTGGACAAGAGCATTATCTGGGCCAAGTCCACGTTGGAGACGCGCTGCAAACTGTGCAGGCGTAAAGGAGATGCTGAGAAGATGCTGTTGTGTGACGGCTGTGACCGGGGACACCACATGTACTGTCTGAAACCTCCAATGGAGGTGAGTGAGGAGAAAGACATTGGGAGTTTTATTGTTGTTGTTTTGTTTTTTTTGGTGTGTTTTTTTTTATTTAAGAGGGGGCTTGTTTTGGGCCACACATATTGAGAAATTATTGAAGCTTGCTTATATTATAGCTGCTTGAATGAAGATCAGGGGTACAATTTATTGCAAGTTCTGCTCTAGGCCAAACGTTCCAGTTGTTTTTTTTGTTTTTTTGGGGGTGGGACTTGCCAAAGTTTAAACATTTCTTCTGGGAAATTATTATGAATTGAATGCTCTGACCGTGGATCAGTTTTCAATTCTGGAGAAAGTTCAATTAAACATACATAGCTGTTGGCATGTTCATAAAGACTTGATAAAAGAATTTTATGACTTTTACAGAGGATATCACTGTTGCCTTTCTTGTCAAATTTTAAAGAAATGGAGTAGCCATAAAATAATATTGTTTCTGGGAACCAAATGTAGCAGGTACTGTTGGATGCATCCAAATCATGTCTATGTGCTACAAAAGTTACCTAAGCAGTGGGTCATAGTTTAAACGAAATCTTAACATTTTCCTTATTTAATGCCTTTTACAGCGTGGAGTCGTGATTTCAATAAATTGGAAATCTATTAGAGCATTTGTGCGACTTATGTAGTGGTAGAATGCCACATGGAATGTATGACAGAAAGTTTTATTTCAGCTCTTTATCATTGTAGTGCTTTGATGATATATTTGTTTCTCTTAGTTCTCAAGCTGTTCTTCTCAACACCTTTTCATTTTGCTTCCCAACTCGAGCAGAAGGTCCCAACTGGTGACTGGTTTTGTGCAGAGTGTCGGCCTAAACAAACGCCCCGCAGTCCCGTCAGGAAAGGAAGAAGAAAGACGTTCACAGAAGAGGAAGAAATTGTGGAGGAACCTCCAGAGGAAGAAGTGATGGAAGAAGATGAGGAAGAGGAAGAAGAACTGTGAGTTCTTCCTGATGTTGATTTATGGAGGCATAAATGGGTTATTTCATTGAGTTTCAGTTCAGGAAAAAAACGTGTTTTCCTATTCCTGTTTTGCTTTCTGCTTCATATGCCTATTACATATCATGCATGAGCCAAAGTGTTGGTTGTCAACCTTAATCTCTTACCATTCTCTAGATTCTTTTCCCTGGACCTTGCTGCCTGTTTCCAGATCACTGGTTTTCTTAATGGCTCTGTCCCTGTCCTACTGGGAAGGTTTATTTTGGCCATTCTATTATTTTCCTCTGTTCCCCTCTTTTGTTTGTTTGCTAAATTCCCTTTCCCCCATCCTCCTCACCAATTCTCTTTTTTCTTTACATGACCTGTGGAAAAGTAGAACCAAAATTTTCTATTTTCATATACACATGCTGCTCGTGGGTAGTTTTTTTTTTCCTTTTTTTTTTTTGTTGGATGTTCTTTGTGTGTTGATGTCTCTCTACATTTTTGTTAAGTTGTTCTATTTGACTCAAATTGACAAAAATACATTTTTCTCCCTGTATTTTCAAATCAGAGACGAAGAAGATGTCACGCTGGATGAGACAGTGGAAGATGAAACTGAGGAAGAGGAAGAAGAGCCAGATGTAGATAGTGATGATGACGAAGATGAGGATGATGTCGACATGGAATCTAATGAGAATCCGGAGGAGGACTTATGTACAGGATGCAAGACGGGAGGGACTCTGATCTGCTGCGACTGCTGTCCCCGGGCTTATCATTTACACTGTGCCAAGCCTGTCCTGAAAAAGGTGTGTGGATCATATTTATTGTGTTTGATGCTAAATGACCAATTTTAGACAACTCAAAAAGCAATTTAATTGTCTCTTTACAAGTGATATTTCATGAAATTGGGGGGAAGGGGGGCTCAGCACCTCAGTGTTGTTATATTGCTGTTGTTATGGTGTTTACCTTTCAACCTGGAGATCCAGAGTTCGATCCCCACCAGTGTCGGGGTTTATTTTCTCAAAATTTCTTTACTCCTGATCCTGGGGTACTCTAAGGTATTGAATAAACGAGGGATGTGGACAAATGGTCCAAAATTAATAAACGGGGGGGCACATTTAACCTCATACCCCTGTACTAGTAGGAACAAATCTGTTTTATTTCTCCTTCAGTGAATAAAAGAACAAGAGATCTTGAAATTTAATTGATTTTAACAAGCTACTGTAACAACTTTTCCCATTTAGGAACAAACCAGTATCATTAAAAAAAATATAAACCAATGTAAAAAAGTTTAACAAATGCACATAAAATGGAGGTAGCTATCCCGGTATTACAAAATGTTTGTTTTGTTATGCATACCAGATACAGTTTTTAAATGTCTTAGATGTGTGACAGACACAAATGATGTCTCTGATTTATTTTTTAGAGCTGTAAGTTATGAATTTGGAAGGGCTATCCAGTAATATTCAAGTTAACTCTTTCCGGACGGATCGCTGATATATCGGCGGGAGTCCACACCCTTTGCGGACGTATCACCGATATATCAGCTATGATAGGGTGCGTCAGTTTTGTTTCGTTTTAACACGATCCATCATTTGTAATTACTTTTTATTGCTATTAAAAAACTGGGAAAGGATTTAGGAAACGAAAATGTCTAGTTTCACTTTGTCAAAGCGTGGGTTTAGAGGAAAAGGAGTGAATTAGTTCTTCTGGTCTTGCATCAACAAAACGATGTAACCGGACTCAGTATAAATTTCATAACTAAAAAACAAAAATTGGAATATTGCTTTCAAATAAAAAGCTGCTCTTGGCCTGTGTATGATAAGTTAGCTATGCTGTTTTCCTTTCACATGTTTGGTGAATGTAATTTTTTCCGTCAAAATGTATTTTTCTCATCACCATCGCCATTTCTAACCTTTCTAATTCATACTTATGTTCAAAATTAATCCTTTTTTTATAATGGGATGTATTTCTCATTCAATTTCATTCAATTTGATATGGTATGTTATGTTTGGAGCGATGGTTATGCTTCTATGAAGTTATTTCGTACCCCACCTGCATAGCCAAAGCGAGCCACAGGTTAATCATGTCTAGACCCCCAAAAAACTACGTCCAGAAAGAGTTAACATGCTGAAAATTGGAAAAGAATTTTATGTGGGTTTACTTTATAAAAAAAGATTCGTTAGTGAATGGTATACTTTTATCAATTTTTTTTAAACCTCAAAAATGGGTGGTTGGCGGGTGCTCTGGTGTGGTTTGCTTCTTCTTTCCTATCAAACATCTATCGTCTTTATCTCCCCTCCTTTTTTTGTGTTTGTTACTCTCTTGTAACACCTCTAATCTTTGGCACTTATATGACTAGGCAGTTTAGTAAAAATTTCAAATTTGTCTGATATGCTTTGAAATACTTTCATCTGAAAGCTCTTGCCTTCATGATCATAAAACAGTTTAAAGTTTGTTGATATCTTTATTAGTTAAAAAGTTATGGCGATTTTTCATGCCTAAAATCCGGCCAATTTCAGGCCACTTTTAACACTGAGTTTTTGTGACACAAAAATGCAACTTTACAACACAAATGACCATTACTCAACACAAATGACCATTACTCAACACAAAATGCATATTTTTTAAAGTGTTGTGCATCAGTTTGTTGGGAATTTTACACAGAATGCACGCAACTACAAAACACCTCTTTACAAAGTCACAGAAATATTTTTTGGTACTTCTAGAGGTTCAGGGTGATAAAAAATCCCCCGTAAGGATAACCCGAAATGGACAAAATGGGCTATATCTTTGCTGCTAATGGTCATATTTAGACAAATCATACATCATTCTCTTTGTCGTTTTTCACTGTTCATAATTATTAAAGAGTTAAGCCAATTAAGTAATAATTTCCAATTTTTATGGCCATTCCTAAGATTTCAAAACGTATTTTTAGTGTTTCTCTAACCGTTAAACGGATTCCGTTAAAAAAAAACCCCCAACCTCTTAATGACCGCCATAAGTCAGCTCCCTATCCTTCTTTTACAAAGTATTGTAACATACATTTGTGTGAAGCTATATTTTAAAATTCATGCTTTCAAGTGCATAAAAGAACTTATAAATTCAAGAAAAATGCTCTTCGGAGACCTAGTTGTAGACCCACTGGAACATTTAATAAACTGCGGAAAGATGACGAGAAAATAACAAAGTCATTTTATGATCTTCACACAAGTTGCACTTGCACTTTTTTGGACAAATTATATTTATAGTCTACCTCATTCTATTATTTTTTCACACATGTTTCTTCACTATTCATTACATTTTGAGTTATTATCAGCTAGCAATTTTTATTGATGAGCATAATTTAAAAAAAATATTGAGTCAGACTCATTGGCCATAAATTATATTTTTTTAAATGGCACAATTTGATAATGTAAATGTAAAAATATCCAGAAAATAACAACATTAAATTATTAGGTACTAAAAGTGAAAGACTGAGCAGAGGCTTAGATAAACTCTGTTCTCTACTACTATACTACTAACAAGTAAGTTTGCGCAAAACTGATTTAAGAAAAAGGTTGTCTCATAAAAGCAATTGTTAAGATGAGATTTATTATTAACTCTGGAATATATAGCTACATGCTGAATCTAACATCAATTAGAACTGTGCAATTCAAGCTTTATTTCAATTCCAAAGCCCAAAGGCATAAATAGTTAGATATGGTGGCTTTTTGACTGTTTCTAGCCTACTACTGCTGAATTCTAGAAGGGAATCTAGATTTAGCTATCATTTGCACTATTCAAGAGCCAAATATGGTAAAATAAAAGCAAAACTGTGAATTCTTTTGTCAGTCCGTTCATAATTTCATAGCCGCACGTATTATTATTATCCGGAGAAACAAGTAAAGCGCGAATAAATGCGATGCCGGCGCAATACGTTATCACAGTGTGCAGGGGAGAGCAGGGGCGCCGGGTCGCTGACCGGCCGATTCGGCGTACCAGCTTTTTGTATGCATTCTTACGGGAAGCGCCGTAGCATTGTGCGAAGTTCAACATAAACAACTCGGGTGTCAAAAGAAACTAGAATGGATAATCTATAACTTCTGAAAGATTCATAAATATACAGCCAGTAGTTTTCATTTTATCGTGTTGTAAAAACTGCCTTGTTCTCAGATGCAAATATTTCCAGTTCCACTGAACCGATTTTCACGCGAAGACCGCCATTTTGAAGACCTTTCTTTTCTGTTTAAAAAGATGTATCGGGAGTGGTAGTGCAATTCGCAAAACGAAACAAAACTGTGAGTTGTTTAGACCCACCGTAGCGCGAGGCTTCACGGCCGGTCACAAAAATCTACGGGGCGTACCGCGGCCGATTCGCCCTGCCGCGAGCGCGTTCACTAAACTGCCTAATATGACCTTATTGTTTTGCAAGTGCCGTAAAACACTAAAAGTATTTTTAAAAACCTTAAAAGCAGAAGACAATCATATTTGTTCAGTCTTATTTTGTTAATGTTGTTCATATTGGTTGCATACCACATACATCCATTTCAAGCTTGTATGCTTTTGCTTATTGTTTACATACAAATAAGTTGATTGTCTTGTCCATTTACCCAGGTTCCTCGGGGGAAATGGATGTGTCAGGTGTGCATGGGCATTGAACGAAGTGGCAAGATTAAAATTGGAGCAGCAAAAACAAGCAAAGGCAGCGCCAAGGGCAAATCGAAAGAAAAGTCAAAAGGTAAGAGATTGCACAGATGTTTGAATGTAAATGAAGGGCAAGGGACATTAAAGCAGTCAGAAGTAGAAGGGAGAGTGGGGGTGCCTTGGAAATTGGGGACTAAATTGATGTCCAAGATACTGTTTTTTATTTCATTATTCGTCAATATTACTTCACCATTTGCAGTCAGTCCCACTTTATGTAATTTTATTTGTTATTACGTAGTGTGATGTTATAATTTATAGTGTTCCTGTTTGGTTTTGAAAAAGTTGACAAGCCTGAAGATGCACAATTCAAGACCCAACAAAGTGTCGAGAAGAGACATAAAATTATGCCTCCCATTGACTGAAGCTATCCAAGTTCAGTTGAGCTGAAAAAGCTTTCCCTTTCCTTTTTGAAGGTGTGGATTTAATTTCTTTATTCCATAAAGTCAAAGCAGAAAACTTGATGCTCATCTTCACCTACCCAGACATCATTGAGGAAAACAGAGGGGATCTGACCACCTGCAGGAACTGGCTGTAACTCCACTGACTATGGCATGAGGGCCAAGCTCCTACTTAAAGACTGAGGGACCTCCTCCCTACATTAGTTTTTGTAACTTCTAATTTCTTTGTAACTTAAGTTTTTGAAATTGTCATTATTCAACATATTGCGTGGGCAGAGAAGTAGAAAAAAAGTATTTGCAGTATGTGCATAGTTAACTTTGTTGCATTTTGCCAGAATTGGCTGAATTTTATGAAAGGAGAAAACTTATTTGCTTAATGAAATGTTATTTGTTGTTTTAGGCTCAACTAAAGACAAGTTAAAGCCAACAGGCAGCAACAAATCAACACCGAACAATTCTCGACCAGGCTCTCGGCGAGAAAGTCCACGAGACAGTCCTGTGCTGGGACGGTCCCGGAAACATCCGCCATCAGCCTTGGCTTTGGAAGAGGCAGGAAATTCCAAGCCCAAGAAGAAACGTGCAAGACTTTCGTACGACCCTGTGTCAGGTAAGGGAATGTGTTCTTACTTCTTTTGTGCCATAATTTATCAGCTCATTGTCATATGGTGTTAAAAAACAAAAGCCAATGATATAACCAGTGGCACAGAAAAAGTTTGTCTACTCTTTTGCTAGATTTCTTTTTGCCTTGATGAGGGCTACATGTTATAGGGGAAAATAATTTATCTCACTGTTTCCGATACACATGCTCATTTCATATATATGGAATTATAATAAAGTATACTTTTATCATGCTCCCCTGACTTAATTTATATCTTTTCCGCTAGTTTGGGATAGGTCATGTCTTGCCTTTTCAGATGCTTTCATCATCATACCCTGTAGTGTACTGGATAATGTACGCTTTGAAATTCCTATGAATACTCGTTCAGTTGTATAGATACTGGTAACATTATGATATTAACTCACTTCAGACGGTTCACACAACAGTTGCGTGACCCCCGCCGCGACGCTCGCGACGGGTCTCACATGCCTTGCGTGACCAACTTTGGAATTTTTTTTTCGCTCTACAAATCACACACGGATCGCGAGACCCGCCTCGTACCTTTGTTTGGCCAAGCCTGAGCTACTTAGACTTCGTTTCGTATCTCTGGGGCCGGTAGTTTTTAAGTTATTGAAGGTGAAGGACAGTGACCCCAACTGGGGTTGAACAGACCGGAACTCGCGCTTTGTTTTTTCTATACAGCTGATAGTAATCCGACAGTTGCGTCGAAGTAACGGTCGAAGAAGTCGCATGAACAAGAATCACATAATTTCGCCGTTTTCTATACTTCTGTACGTTTTACTAGTTCTAGTGTCTCAGAATATGATGTGTCTAATAGTTAGGATCCTGGATGTGTGCCCGAACACGGCCCGAGTCGTAGTTCTAGGGCTAGATCTAGCACTAGTACCGGTGTTGTTTTTCGCGCAACGAAATCACAACGTCGTGCCGTTCATCTGTCTCATGTAATTCAGTGTATGGGTCTGAATCAATGCACAGACCAGCTTTTATATTTTCACCAAACACTCGCACATGTATACAAATCAAACCAGAACACTTTGAACTTTTATTTTTGTTGATGTAGTGAATTTCATTCTACTTGTCACGTCTCTGGAAATTTTTCGGAAAATCAAATTCATGCCAATTTTTAAAAAATCATACAAATGAAAGTGTTAGACTTAGACAACTTTAGTTTTTTTTTTATTAGATTAAGCTTGAATGTTACTTTACTGTGTCAAAAAATAATTACAATACGGTAATTCTGAGAGTTGTGGTGATTTATTGAAATACCCCCCAAAACGCCAGTCTTCAACGCTTGTGACTGGTGAAAGGGCCCAGTTGCAAGTGAGTTAAACACTTGCCCCAACCCCATTTTAAGCTACTTGTTTGGGATTTTTTTAGCTTTGATGCCCAGGAAAGCTGGTACAAAAATGAGGAGGGGGATTCTTTAAGGGTTACAGAAATGTTTATTTTGCATTACATCAGAATACAATGTCCCTGTTTTGTTTGTTTTATAGATGGCAGCCCTATCATGCGTATGATGAAGCCCATCAACCCAAGCTCTAAGCGTGCCAACAGTCAACAGCAGCAGCTGAAGACGGCCGAGGAGCTGATCAATGAACTCATGAAGCATGAGGACGCTTGGCCCTTCCTCAAGCCCGTAGACAAAAAATTGGTGAGTCCTCTCATGAGGTTCACAAAAGATGCATATTCTCAGAATTTAGTTGGAGTTTAGGGTTCTTTATTTTGTCTCAGAATTCTTTAGAAATGATAAAGTAATTGTGATGTTTTATTTTCTGTTTGTCGTAGTGCTGTGTTCGAGTGCCTAGTATTGTGATTTTTCTTGTACAGTCTATATTGTCCAAGGCGGCTAACCATTGTCGAGGAGAAAAGTGTTTGTCTTAGACAGGTGGTCCTCTTGGTCAGTGATATTATAATAAAGAATAAAAATGCAAGGGGAAAAGTTGGTTTGACTTAATTTTTTTCTTCACATATTTGCACTTTTCTATGAGTAGATGCATTTTCTTTGGCTCTGTCAGATTTGTCCATGACAGCTCTATGGATCGTCATTGCAATGCAGTTGTGGGGGGAAGAAGGACACTATCTGTCAGTGTGTGATGGACTTTCTGTATTATATTTTAGGAGTATCCAAAAGTTTTGCTCAAAGCCTGACCTTTATTTTTCCTTGTTGTGTCATCAGGTGCCCGACTACTATGATGTCATTGAAGTCCCGATGGATTTTGGCACGATTAGGAACAAAATCCACGCGTTCACATACCAGAAGCCATCGGCGATGTTGGCGGACGTCCGCCTCATCTTTAGTAATTGTGTGGAGTATAACACGAGAAACAGTCCGGAGTACAAAGCTTACTATAGACTCTCCAAGTTCTTTGACAAGCGAGTGAAGGAGCTGTCGCTGTCTGAGGATGCTCCCACGCCGGTCAAGAATCCAAAAGGCAGGGTGTCTGTCTGACCAAATAAGAGATTTTAGGGACATTATGACATTACGTTACTATGGGTAATTGTGCTGTTTGAAACACTTCCATTTTTCTTCTCTCCTTGTATTAATTTTTATATATACTGGTAAGAGAGCACATTTTCAGCATTGAGTGTCTGGAGTGTTTCAGAACGGATTTGGGTGGTGTTAAGCTGAATTCAGAAGGATGCAGAAATCCTTTTGATAGGGGGCATCTAGGTCAATTGTAGTTTACACATAAATTACTTCCTGAAAGAGTTAAAACTACTTTTTTGTGTGTGGAGAATTCTAGAGGTCACAGAAGATGCAATGATCTCTAAGCACCCATTACAGTTATATTACCACCCACAATGGAAGTAATGCATTGTGTCATTCATTTTTCATCTCATGTATTGTGGCTGCCTCTTTGAAGAGGGGGCTTTGTTTCTTGTTAAATATCATTGCCAAGTTCATTACTCAAATGTTTCAGTCAGGTCATATGACTTTGTGTGAAAGTGTTCTGTGTGAGCGACACTTAACTCCAAATCAATGTCCACATCATTTTTCCATTTCTTGAGTGACATGAAATTAAGAACATTTTTGGATAGCAATGGTTTCAGAATCGTAGTTCAAACATGTGTACCAGTGGGATTTAAGTGATTGTACTACTAATTTTCTTGGTTGAATTACGAGAATATATTTGAGATGGATTTTACTGGCTAAAGTGGATTTTTTTTAAAAAGGTCTGATACACGTGTTACTTTTTGAGGTTGTTGATGCTTAGACACCATTCCGGATAACTTCTTTCATGATCGGTAATTGTTGGGAATTCTAAATTCTTAATTAGTAATTGTGTATTATGTGGGTTATGTCTAGTTTTTATTGGTGTTCGGTTTTTTTTTCTTCAGTCTATTTATTTTGTTGTTTTTTATTGAACTACTGGACAGGAATACTTGATGTTCGTTTTGAATTGGGCTTCGCTCTGGGGGTTTTGGGGGTCAGTAGGCCTGTGTGATAGACCAGACTCTGGAGTCAACATTGGTCAAGATAGCGAGGTGCACAGAAAGTGTGGCAGGCATGAAGTAAAGATTTGGGAGAAATTCCTAATGAACCATGTTCAGAAAAACTTTTATTAAAACATTTGATAGCCCCTATAATCTCAGAGGAGGAATAATTGTTTATGCATATCGTCTTTTTGATGAAAAAAATTTATTTCAATAAGCAGACACAATTAGAAAGAAAATTACGCACCAGCGTATTTTAATTTAAATAGCACCTTTTTGGAGGCATGCTCTAGCCATGAGGTCCTGAGTCGGATTAATTTTGATTACAAAACTATATATTTTTTGAAAAAACGCCCGATACCATTTGTGTGGCATCATGGTGAAATCAAGTGCTTGGAAAAAAATGAAATTGAAAAAATCAACATTTATCCACCTGTTGGTCAATATTTATCAAATTTTGGGGGTGTGGCTCAGCATTTTTAATATTCACTTAAAAACACATTTCTGTGTTGATTTTATTGAAACGGTTAGAGTCCAAAAATGTAAATTTGCAGTTTCTAAGGGCTGTTCAGCTTTGGAAGTTGCCAAACTTGGCTGTAGTTGTCTCGATAATTAATTTTACCTTTGACCCCAGGTGGACACCCCCCCCCCCCCCCCCCTCCACCTCCTTCCATTGCAAATATCTAGACTTCTATTCAAGATAGATATATGTAATTTTTTTATTTATCAAAAGCAAGATAAATGAAATATGCTTTAGTGTTACGGTATACCAATAACTAGGTACCGCAAACTGGCCGTGCGACCCCGTGGCGCACTGTCACGGAGACCAAAACCCATATTTTTACCCTCCTAAAACACCGTGTGAACATGCATACACACAGACACTTGATATATCAGAAGAAAGAGGAGCTTTTCCTCTTTTTAGTGGTATAATTTATTTGAATCAACGATTCTTTTGAAAGCAAAATCTTGCGGGATAAAAGACAACACTATCGAGGCTTTCACCGCAGCGACCGCGCGTTTCGTGTTTTGATTTTTAGAGTGACCTCGGTTGAACAGGAATGGGAGCGTATGGTATTAAATACTGGAATCTGATTCGTCGATATTTCAGGATGAGAAGACGCTCTTTCCGGTGATATATTTCTAAAGACTGTCCTTAAAGAATTGATCGAAGAGATTTGCGTGTGAAAAATTTCGGTGCTGTTTTTTTATGGAACCAGTAATCGGACTGACTACGGAAATATATTAGCAGAAAGCCCATTCATTCCTCTTCAAGATTAACACAGCCATTATACGGAAATAAACACCGGACGCTCCCCGTCGGCTCGCAAGCAGGGCACCATCTCCCCGCTTTCGTATAAATTCTCTCTTCTTCCCTTCAGCGCGGCCCAGCGCGCAGCCGATAAGCTGGCGGTCGCGAGTGGTGATTTTAACCTCCCCTTGTATTTCTTGCCGTTTTGGTCAAAAAGCCATGTTTACGTCAATAAATTTCCATCTTCTGGTTATTTGATAGCCCTGAAAAAATTGAGCTTGTTCTCTATGTGCATAGGTGTGTGTCTACAAGATTTTGTGAATGTCCATTCAAATTTTAAAATGTTGTGACATCTCAAAGTGTAGACATTTCGCAATTAAAAATCTGTAACATTTTTCTGCAACTTCAGAACTTTGTTAAAAATGAAGCTATATGTATAAATTTGGTATCAAAATGCTCAGAATGATAAATTCTATAAGGTAGTGCAGTTAAATATGAAATCAGAGGACTTTGAAATTTCAGTTTGTGGTACCTACAATAACTCCAAATGCAGTAGAACTGACCAGTGCCCACTTCCATCATGCCATGACACGTTTATATAATATAGTATCGACACACGGAATTACTATGATATAGGATGGATCATTTGGGATTTCTCCTAGGAATTCCACTCCAAACATACTGGTTATGAAGTTGCACCCCTAACTTAATTTATATCTCTTCCGCAAGTTTGGGATAGCTCATGTCTTGCCTTTTCAGATGCTTTCATAAATACCTGGGAGTGTACTGGATATTTTTTAAGCAGTTCGTTATGTCAATGTTCTTAACAAATTTTCTAGACCGCAGTCTTTTGTACCATTCTTATTACTCTTACCCACACGGAATGATGTTTGTAACGCATGCTGGCAGTTGTTTTTGTCGACATTCCAGGAAGGACAAAAGTTGCTTCACTTAATTTCTTCTCTTTGGTACAGTGCTGATTGTTATTTATTTTGTTATACAATGAAATTTAGGAGCGTTGCCTTTACTAGATTGATGTTCCTACTTCTTGAAGTACAGACTTGCAAACTGCTCTGTACTAAAAGGCAAAACAAGTAATGGATTCTTTTAACTTTAATTTCCTGATCCAGTTGGAAAAAAAAACCCAAAACAATTGTGCTTTTTTTTTTACCCAGCCTTTCGATGGGCGCAAAAAGTATCTCTTGTTGTTGCTCTTTAACTTTAATATTTTGTAATTTTGTTTACATTCTAGACATATTCATGCAGTCATTTTTTTTCATAACTCCCCTTTCCGCATGTACAATAAATGAAAATTGATAAATCAATCCTTACTAAATTTGAAATGTTTTTGTTTTTGTATACACTGGTAAAATAGAGTAAACATCAAAACATGAAATTTAGTATTTACACAAAAATTCGAGGACTTTTTTGTTGGAGGAATTTTTTTTCTGCTGGTAGCGGCTGCAGGTCTAGGTATGGCAGCTAAGTACTGGATTTTTAGCCTATTCGTGAAAGAGATAGACACATCATAGAGTCAGGTCTAGAAGAGTGCAATAACGTGTGAGTAGTTTATCTTGTTTTGCCATTTTCTTTTTATTAATGAAATTGAGATATATCCACCATTACTTTTTCATGTATTGCCAGGTGTCTTCAAAAGCTTTTCTTGTGGACACAGAGAGAACTAAACATTATTGCAGAAAGAATTTAGAAGAAGAATGTTAAAATTATGTAGTGGGAGAAGAATGTCATCTATGTTGGAAGATGTATTCTTGGGTATTTTCTCAGTGAAAAATGAATGAAATTATTTTTGTCATTTATGTAGGATTTTTTGTTAATCACAGGCACAATCTTTTATTTTATTATTTTTTTTTTTTTTTAGTTTTCTGAGATCCTTTTCTTTCTTTTTTCGTCTTGCTTGCTGTTTTCTTTTGTACTTAGTTATTTGCTGTTGTCTGAAATTCAGAATGTTTGATCTTAGTCTTAATAAGTGCTAGGGCTGTAACAGTTCTGTTGTTATAGATATTTACCTTTACTTGAGAATGGGGGGGTCAGGTCCACAATATGCGTGAACCATCTGAGATAAGTGTCCTTGCTAGTACAAGTTTCTGAGGAAAAAATGTTGTTTCTTCAATAGAACAGGAGTACCTATCACTTGCTGCTCCCCCCCCCCCCCCCCTGATACATCTTTTACCTTTCATACCTGTTTTCAAGACATCTTACCTTATTACTGCTTTGAACATGCATGTTCTTGTTGAGAGAAGCCTACAGTAAAGACATTGCTGCTATTGCAGGTATTCAAGCCGAGGTTATGGTACCGGTACCCCAAATTTTGAGAGAAAACATGTTTGAAAATATCTCAGTTTAAGACAATTTGTGTTCTATTTCATTTCACAGAAACCCTTCTTTTTGACAACTACCGTTGAAAGATGGTGATGGTTCACTATTATTATTCCATTTTGTTTTTGGAGTGTGAAAGGACGTAGCTGAGTGTCAGGATATGTACATGTAACATATTGTCATCACATGTATTTTGTATTGAAATAAACTTGTGTTGCTATGAGACCTGGTGTGCCTTGTATTCTCAGAAACCTTAAACAATAATAACAGACGGCTTTTACTTTTATTATAGCGCACTCAATGAGTTTCACGGGTACAGGAAAGATTTCATGAATTTGTAGCCTACATTTTTTTCATTGATATATCAAGAATTGTAATAGATTAGATTACACCGTCTGTATTTTTTCACTTTTCTTACCCACACCTGGTGTGCAGGTTACACTCTTCACTGTCGCCCTCAGAAAACATGAATTAGGATTTCAGAAAGATAAAGTGGAACATGGTGTTTAGAGAGCAGGAAAGGAGGTGAAAGGAAAAATTTTTCAAGAAAATCTGTTTTTCCATCGCTGTCAAATTTTGAACCTGGGACCTATTGAATGAGAGGCGAACACCGTAACCTCTAGACCATTAGAGCCCCTTGTCGCGGATTTGGCAATTTCACAGAGTGTAGCCTTACCACTAAGGCAGGTCCCAGAGTGGCTCTGTAGGTCTGACCTGTAGCTCGCCTAGCTCGTACCGTGCAAATGAACATCATTATCGTGCGCCTGAGCAGCGTCGCTGTATGGTCTGTCTGTTGTCCGCTGAGCTGTGCGACGCGTCAAATGTGCTATTCATCAACAGTGTTGTAAAACACGTCAGACATGTGTTACACGCAGCCTCGCTTTGTGTTTATTTTCGACTGAAATTCTTCACAGATCATCAAAATCAGCACGAAGTAAGTATTATTAGGTGCTTTACTATTATATTGATGCTAGCATCAACACTTGACCACAAAATCCCAAGAAATACACTTTATCCTTCATTAAAATTTCGAATCGAGAGGTTGACCTCTAGTTTCGACTGTTTGAAGTGTTTATTAACATTCGTAGGCCTGTGTGCTTCTAGCCTAGTGTGCTGTGCTGACACGCAGAGGGCGCTCACTCAGAGTCAGGCACAGAAGCCAATGCACAGTGCGGCTGTGCTGACTCGCAGACAGCGTACGCTTGGCAAGCTTCAGGTCAGACCTACAGAGCCACTCTGGAACCGGCCTAACCTGACATCAAAACCAGTCCCACCTGATATATGCTGAGTGGGTTTTGAAAAAGTTCGCAAGCCTGGTCTTGTAATATGTCACTAGGTTGAAATGGAACGGTTTTCTTATTGATTTCCTTCCACGGTCTGTTCTGTTGGATGGCACAGATCCCATGCTCAGCTTATCATACTTTCTTTAAATTTGTTTGATACACATTTCATGGAGTCTCCTAGTACGAATGCTTTTCTTTCCCCATCCGTCTGTGATTTGTCAGGGTAAAAGAAAAGCACACTCTTTGTTGAAGTGAACAGTTTTATGTTGAATACAGCATTATGTCATCACACAACCCCCCCCCAATGGATGAGACTTAGTCAGATGTGCCTTCTAATGATATAAAAAACAGTAAAAAAAAAATAAGGAGAAAAAAAACCCAACACAATGGAAATCGAATTATGATAAATTTAATGGACAAAATATGAAATGTAAAACTTATATAAAGATATGAGGAAGAAAAAAAAACATAACGATGATACAATAGCATAACCATATATATATGTATATGAACATTTATAAACCTTCATCTC